CCACTTGGATCAGTCTGCGTAGGGACCGAGGGTGTGCGGTATTGGTCCTCGTTAAACTGTGCTACCGTAAAGTGCTCGACTTCGCGCGCAGGTCGTCGGGCTACCGAAGCGGGGGTGCCATCCCTTCCGCAGAGGATCAAAATTGTGATGGCATGTCTTCGGATCATCCTCCGGGATGTTTCCCAAACCGTCGCCAATAGCCCATTGTGCAGCTCTAGTGCGACGTAAAGTAACAACAACAACAAAGTTATCCTCAATGTAAAATTGTGGAAGTCAGGAGAGAAGATAACTTGTAGGCAGTGGAAATCCACATCAGTTCTGTGACTGCAGGGAGGAGGGAGCGAGGCAACTTAACAAGCTCTTCGTCCTTTAAAAGTTCTTTCATTTCTTGGAAGAGTCTTAGAAATCTGCTGGCAGAGTCTGTGGCGTTCTTGACTTTTCTTTCTTTAGGAAGCTTCCTGGGTCTTGCACCGCAGCGCGTAAAGCAGGCTGGGTGTTCACCGACGCAGGTCGTTGGTTCCGCAGTAGGCTTCTTACGAGATGTGGGCTTTGGCACATTTCATGCAGGCGGGAACTGTGGCTGTACAGCTGCGTCGGGTGTGTCCATATTTCTGGCATTTATAGCATAGGACTTGGAAACGTCCCCCTCTGAAATGGGCTCTCAAGGTAAGATCTGATGTTGAAGATATTTCAGTTCTTGCTTGAATCCAACTGGAAGATGAGAAATAGTGGGAGGGTCCTAAGCTCCAGCCCGCTTCTCTTGAGCTGCACTATCTTTCCCGGGAGAAATTCTTTGAGATATTTCTCTAATTCAGGAATATCTGTATCGATTTTCAGTCCTCGGATAAGGGTCTTCAGTTTCTTGTTTGGAAAAATTTCCAAAGATGAAGTGGTGGGAGCTGCGTGTTCTTCCGTCGCCTGAGCTTCGGTGTTCCCCTCTTGCTCTGTCGGGACTGGAGCCGCTGGGATGGCGTAAGCTGGATCTACTTGCATCGCTGTGTTGACGCAAGGCTTATTCTTTTTCTTCTTTCTCTTAATCTTCTTTTCCGGGCAGGACGGAGATTCGGAATCCATTAGAATTTCAGTTAGCTGGATATCATTCATGGTTTCTAATTCAGTAGGAGTCACGGTCTGTTCAGGAATTTCTATCTCCATAGATGTTTCTGACTTAGTAGTTTCCTTCTCAGCCGCATTCTCTTTCATTTTCAGAAGTCGATCGAATCTAATGTCATATGTGGCTTTTATCCTTAGGTGCTTCTCGTGGATCATTCGGATCGTTTCTCGAATGAACATTCGGGTGTCACTTATAACTTCATCTATGCATTCACCATTCTTAAAGTCCCGTAGTGGACTGATCGTTAAGACACGGTTCCCAGCAGATCACCGAAGTCAAGCATCACTGGCTGCGGGCAGTGTGCGGGTGGGTGACCACTGGGATCAAACTGCGTAGGGACCGAGGGTGTGCGGTATTGGTCCTCGTTAAACTGTTCTACCGTAAAGTGCTCGACTTCGCGTGCCGTCGGGCTACCGAAGCGGGGGTGCCATCCCCTCCGCAGAGGATCAAAATTGTGATGGCATGTCTGGGATCATCCTCAGGGATGTTTCCCAGACCGTCGCCAATAGCCCATTGTGCAGCTCTAGTGCGACGTAAATGAACAACAACAATACCATTCTTAAAAATTCTTTCGTTGATATAATCTATGTTACAAAGTTTGATAAACTCATAATTTACTTTAACTCTAGCGCGAGACTGCGTGTTACACAACCTTTAGCCGCCTCTGCCGTAAGTGTGATAGGTAGACGTATTAGGGCGGGAGCTTGACTATAAACAACCTTACTCCACGAAATCTCAAGAAAGAATCCTCTTATATTTGTTGAGAAATAAGATTCGCTACAAAAAAGAATTTTACTTCTTCCAGCGCATGCGCAGCATAAAAGATTTACTTTAATTACTCATATCTTAACAGTTTCGAACTCATTTTTCTTTAATTTTAAATCAAAAATTTTCTAATTAATTTTAAATTGGTCTAAAAATTTTGTTTAATTTTATTGAATAATTTTAAAGTTATAGCAAAAAAACACAAGTCCAAAAAAAATTAGTTTCTTATAAAAAATGTCTATAAAATCTCCATAAATATTTAAGCTATGTTTACAAAATTCAGTTCAATTACTGTATATAATGACCAAAATAATTGTTACAAGTTACAAATTTATTGCTACATTTTTTGGCATAGGGCTTTGAAAAACATTATTTTCCGTTTGTAATTTATTATCGGACCCTCAAACCTCTAAAAGCTTTAAACTTCTTTGATATGTATTAGAAATCACATGATCTAAACACTTCTGAAGTTATATAAGGATTTTTTAAGTATTTCTTTAAAAATATGACAAAAATGTTTAAGTATAGTAGTGTTTCCATTATTTTGTCCACCCCCTGTATATATTTATATATAAGATATATATTATGAAGGTCAGCTTTGTCCCGACCTTAACAGAAAAATTAAGGTCATTTGAGACTTCCCAGTTTTTGCCTTGCAGCATTATCTTAAAATATTTTTTTTAGCAATATCCATTCTGATGAATCATAAGGCTGTTGCTGCTCCTTCAAAACAATAGAAATGATTTCTTGCGGGGGGCTGAATGATGACAAGAAAGGAAGAGGAAGAAAAACTAAATGTGCAGGCATAAAAAAATTAAGTAAAGGAAAAGAAAGAAACTTAAAGTCCTCTTAGGTCAACAGAAAAATTCGAATAAGTTCTTCCTCTGCACTGCAGCCCATTAGTAGCCAAAGCTGTCAGAGTCAATTATATAAGGATCTGCTGGATTAAATGGTCCTTCATCATATACCTCAAATGACATTTAAAAAAATGTTTCATGTTATTTATTCATCCGGCACAAGATCCTCGTTATTTTTTTAAATGTTTGCTTGTGGTTCGACGGTATTTTTTTAATACTAAAAACCAAAATTTATCATTTGTATAATTTTTAATGCACTACAATTTAAAAATGCTATTCATTCTATAAGTAAGAAATATATGTTTTTTTAATTATTATTTTTCAAGAACTATTCAACATAGTTTTATACAGGTCTTATTACCAGTCTCATTATACAAAAGTAGATTAACATATTTTAAAAATTCATTTTAATCTAGTGTTTTTGCATAATTATTCAAAAGACCAGAGTCTGAGTAACTATCCACTCTTGGTATCAATTCCATGTCTTATAGTAGGAAGTTTTTTTTTTTCCATTGCGTTTTAAAGTTAATATTTCTGTTTTCGAGATAGCATAGTAAACTGGTTGCGTCCACATGGTTTTCATGCTTTATTATCATACTGTAGAGCTCTACGCATCTTCGACGCTTATGAAAGAGTTTCAAATTGTCTGAATTAATGTAGTATTTGTTAAAATTATTTTAACCAGCCCTATCAACATTTGTTCGGAAGATTGACAGCAGCATGCCTACTGAAGTAAAAATTATCTTATGTCTCTAATGAAACTCAATGATTCAAATTAATATTCTTTGTTGAATTAACATGCCTTAATGGTGTGCAAAAAAGACTGATTATTTTATTTATTGTATTTTACTTTTTGTATGTTTTCCATTTACTATAATTTATTTTCCACTTCGCAGAACTTTTATAGATTTTTTTTCATTATCTCTTTTTAGAATTTTTCCTTATAGGGAAGTGAAACGTTGACAACTAAACCAGTTTGAAAACTTGAAAAGTCAGCTTGTTGTCTTTGGACATATTTTTTTCGTGGGGGGGGGACGAAACAATAAAACAAATGGGAATCATTGTTAACAAAAATAATTTAAAACAAAAATCTATTTTGATAAGGAAAATTTATTTGGTGTGTGAAGTTTTTAAATTTTCATAAAATAATTTTGCAATGTATATATTTTTGACACATTTTTATTCCGCTCATTTTTCTTTATTTTTATCTATTATGCAGACTTTTATACTTTATTATTTAAAGTAAATTATGAAGCACCGTCTACTGTTTCCACAAATACGTTTATCATAAAGTGAGCTTGTTTCTCTCTCGTTATAAAATTGGCAATTTACGAAACCAACTGACTGAAAAATTAACTTAAGATGAAGAAAAAGATATCAGATGTTGAAATTTTAAAAATCTCTTTTTTATTATACGTAAATATTTCATCGAGTCCCCTAGTAAAAATAATTCAAAGTTTGTTTCTTAAATTAAAGCAAACTTTTTGGTCATATTATTTTTCATAGAACTAACAGAAAAATACTTTTTTATTTTTGTCAATTTTATCGAAAAACAAACACTTTGAACCTAAATAACTTCAAAGCTAAATTTCGACTGATGTACATATTATCAGATTAAAAAAAAATGTATACATACTAGGAGCCCTTTTTAATTTTTTGCGTCCTTTAAATTTTGAATTCTCTGCTTCACTTAGCTTCGCATATACTCGCTTTTTAATGGCTGCTGCTTCATTACTTTTATGTAGTAAATTTAAAAAAAATACTCTTTTGTATTTTAAGTAAAATTGAAAGAGTAAAAATCATATGAGCAGTATTTTCAAAACTTATTTATTCATTTAAACAATTTTAGATGCATCAATTTATAATATTATAAACATCACCCAAATCGATTTACCTTTGCCAATATTTTGAAATTTATTCAAACACTAACCCTTAAAAGCCTCTATATTTGCCTCTTTTCGGCATCTCTTACTAGGCAAAAACTTATTGAGGAAATTCAATTCACTCGCCAATTAATTAGGTTCTCAGTATCAACTCCAAATTCACTTTCGCAATTTTTTTCGCATGCAGTGAACATGGCCCTCGAATTCATATAAGCGACTGTCTTGCATACAGCGAGAATGGCTCATTAAAAAATTATAGGTAATTGAGAATCTGATTGGTGTAATACGTTCACCCATTGCCGCAACGAAAATATACTTCTAATGTTCAGGTGAGTGAAGTTGAGAGGTATATGTTAATTTTCTGTGAGATTTATCTTGATTAATGGAAGAAAAGGGGGTGAGGGGGCTTAAGCCTAAAAATTTACTTTGTAGCGTATCCCTCCAGTTGACGTTCTATAGATTAATGAATAAAAAAAATCGTTTCGGTTGGGACTAAACTATATTTAGGATGAATTTCAAATCAAAATAATGGTGCAAATTTTGGTAACAATGTACGATTTCTATTCTTATACGCTTTTCTGTTATATACCATTTAGGGTTAAACAAAATAAAATTGTTGTTGAATGTTTGTATGGTTGTTATTATCTATAAACCCTAACGTGTAGTTAGGTGTGAGTGATACAATTATATTTTTCAAAATAATGTTTATGTTGTTTTTGATGTATATTTAATATTACGACGTAATGCCGGTCGTATTGAATACTCGCATCTGTTTTAATAACTGCCATTTTGAAAACACGTTTTTTTTTTTATCGCGTAACTGCTTTTCAATATATTAATTTCATGATCAAACATTGAACAATGATAAATCTATATAAAATTAGTACATAAATGCATTGCAGTTAAAAAGTTATTTGTTTGCAGTAAGAAGATTACATCCCAGACATGAATTCGTCTTCACATTTACTGTTTGCTTTGATGTGTATTTTTAATGAATTTATTAGTAGCATGGATTTATTGCTAATTATATAGTTATTCATTATAATTGATTGTTCATAATTAAAAATTTAGGTATGTTATAAGTGTATTTTAATAATCATGTGCTTTAATATATGCTTCCTTTTTTTTAAATCTTGTATTCGTATTTTGATGACTTTATTAAAATGAATGACAAATATATCACTTAACTCTGTCAATAACTATTTTAAAACTTTTCTTGTATATGTATTCTTGATCCATGGGTTGATTTTTATAACTCTTAAAGCTGTAATATTGTTTTATCTTACAGATAAGGTGCATATTTTAGTGTCTAATTAATGATTAAAATTTAATCATCTGGATCAAAGAATGTTTCTGATGTTGATAAAATTACAATTCAATTTTGATCAACTTTATTAATGCTGCTAGTTCAGAATCTATATAGATTTAGTTTTGATGTTTATTTAATCTTAAGTTTCACAATTAGAAACAAATTGATTCTAAAAAGTCAAAATTATTTTTATCTTCAGATAATAAGTAACTCTTTTGATTGTTATGAGGCGTTTTAACACCTGCTACTACAGTTTTTGAGAACAGGGGCTCTCAATTTAACAATTGTAACTATTTTGAAATTTTAATCATAGGTTATAATTTGTTTACTCACATTGGTAATGTAAGCTTTGTATCAGCTTTTTGATAAAAATATAAATTTCGTCTAAAAGTACCTTTTAGATATAATAAGAATGATTGGCGAAATAGCAAAAGAGTCCATTAAATTTCTGTATCAGTGTTAGTGCTAAATTAATTACCAAGTTTCAAGAAATTTCATAGCAGTAGCACATAAACTAAAAAAAAGAAATAAATTCTCAGAAGCAGACCATCTGAAAGGTACAAATCTTAGCCGTACTAAAAAACCTGCCTATATTTTTTAAAAATTTTTGGAATTTTGGTGATTGCAAATGGTATGAATTGGTAACAATGTTTAAATATCCTCCTTGATTTCATTGTTGATTTAATTTATACTTTCTTTAATACACTACAGAACCCGTTATCCGGAAATCGGAAAACCAAAAAACCGGAACGAAATTCGAGAAATTTTCCCGCCATTTTTTAAAAAAATATTTTTTTTCCTCATAAGATTTTAGGATTTTTCTTTCTTTTTTGAGAGATGTTTACCTTACCATCACTTTGGAAATAATCATTAGTGTATTACTTCATCGTTTTTTCTTCTTTTTAAGATTTTTTTTTTATTTTTTTATTTCCAATGGCAGACATGAAAGACAAATTTGTAGCCAAGAATTTGTCTTTCATGTCTGTCATCTTTTTAAGATTATTTCCATAAATTTTTTTTTAGTTGGGTTTAACAATAAAAAAAACGGCTTTTTGTAGTGATTCAGAAAACCGGAAAAATCATTTAACCGGAATAGGGATGGTCCCGATCGTTTCGAATAATCGGTTCCCAACTGTAATATAAATTCAAAATATCAGAAAATTATAAACCTGCATGTTCCCGAGTGCACAATATCTTTTAGAGTATGTACTGCCTGTTGTAATATAAGATGAGGCATAATCAGTATTCCAATGTCTTTTGAAACCCATGTAAATAACACTTTTCATGCTTCTGTTCTTAGCTATACCAGAAAATGAACTGTTTGGATGAAGGATGATAGCCTTATGTAGTGAATATGAGTAAATTTTCTTTAAAGTTTATGGATAAAGGAGGAGGAGGCGTTACGAGATAGAGATTGAACTCTGCCTTCATTTCTTTAAGCATCAGATAGGTGGAATATAAATTCCAAATACTCATTTAAATGTTTTGCATCTTACATAACATTTTGTTTAAAAAATGATGTGCTAATCACTATATTAGCTTTAAACTTTATAATTCATAATTGCTAAAAAATTACACCTTTTCAGTTGAATAGATAATGAAATAATTGTTTGCATAGTTAAATACTTACTCGAGAATGGAACAAAACTATTCTTAAGATCTTTGCTCGCCTTTTTTACTATGATAACTTTTTCTTGTTTCTGGAAAATAACGTGAAAATTTTTAATTAAAATGTATTTCATTAAAAAATCCCAATTTTTTTTATTATTTTCCTTTACGCAAATTTAGTTCCCGATTCTGAAGGCTTGAATTCTGAAAACTTGGAATTCTCAGGGAATTTTACAATTATTCTGGAAATTCTTGAAGCCTTATTAATTAACATCATAATGAGGGGTGGATCCATTTTGGTCTCTTGTTTTTATTGCACTGTAACTCAAAATTAAGTATTTTTGACTAAAAATATTAATTATTTCTGACTTTTCATAATTTGGTCTAATTTAAGCACCTATGTAATCATTCATGTGTTTGCCTAACAGGAATGTCGGTATAGAGCCGTATACTTAGAATGATTGAATTGGCTGTTAAATTACTTAGGTAGGTATTCTATAATCCCAGGTAGTTTTGGGTATTATAAGGTACCCTGTGGTGCGAGTAGTCTACGTCAGTTTCAACAAAGAAACAACGAGTATTTCAATGTATCATTTATTATTTATAGAAGAAAGGAAACTCAATTATCTAAAATACTGTGTATAAGTATAATTGAAATGTCTGTGTTCCGTTTAATCAAAAATTTTCATAGAATAAAATACCATAATTTTAAAGACGAAGTCTTCATATTTCTTATTAAACTAATTATGATCATATTTTAAGATTTAGGATGTTTAATTGCTCAGCACACATAATCTAGGAAGGTCCAGACTGGTACAGCAATATTTAATATTTCGAGCATTTGTAACAATAAGACTAAGAGTGTGTTTCAATTTCTTATTTAGTAGTCATTAAAACTTATCTAATTCAATATCTTATAAAAACTTATCCAGTACTATCATTTATTTTTCTTATCAGTGATATTTTAATAAATAATTAGAAATAATAATTTTTTTCCACTTTTTATTAACCAACATTTTTCAAATTAAAATTCTAAACTTCATCAATAGGGTATATATTTTTTAAATCAATCCATATCTATTATTTATAATAAAAGCTATAAATTTATTTGATAGAAATTTGAATTTTTAATTTTTTTTCTGTTGTAAATTTTTAGTGTGTAAATGGAAAAAATGAACAATTGTTTACATTAATTGTAAATTTTTAATACATCTATATGTAGATTTCTAAATTAAAAATTAAATCACACTAATTGTAAAATGTTTTTGACATACATTGGAAACTCGGAGAATTAAGTTCTGTTTGGAGAACTTCATTTAACATTTTTGTCTTTCCAACTCTTAATGTTTTTAATTGCTTTAAAAACTTGTTAATTGTTTTTTGCTAAAGAATTTAATTACTAATTAATTTCATAATAACTTAACCCATTTAATAAAATAAAGTTAACAATTTTATATTTATTATTTTAATTGCATATGTTGATGGGACATTTATACACAGAGCTTATATTAAATTTAACTCTAAACCTATGTACTAAAAATAATTGTAAAATGGATAATAAGTTAAGAAACCATTTTAAATATGTCTTATAAAATTTTGCGTAATAAAGTAATTTTATGGGGAATAATAAAAATCGCTACTTTTAGATTTTAGCCTTTAGTTTGAAAAAATAATTAAGATAGAAAATGTAATAAGACAGAATGATAATAAAATATTACTGGCAGAGTTGGGTTTTTGATGTGACGTGTCAAAACACGTCCCAAACTGTCAAAGCATGTCATAAACTCTCAAAAACCTGCTAAAAGATGACCAAAACCTGAGGGATGTTTTTTTGTCATTAGAAATATTTTCTAAATCATGCACAATACTTGCATTATATGATAATATAATTATGATTTATATTAGATGTCACACACAAAAAATGTTACCAAAATTATTAAAACTTTTAATTGGTTTTTCTAACGGTAATCTTAATACTTTAAAACTCATTTTATAATTATTTGATTTATAATACAGGTAATAAGTTGTTGATTATTATCTATCTAAATCTTGATTTTAATTCTTTTAAGTTGCAGTTTAGGCAGATTTTTTAGATTAAGTAAAATTAAAGTGTTCACTAATAATTGCATGATCTCAACATATAACTTTTTTTTTCTGATTCTCAATATTTTTCGTTACTAATTATGTTCAGGGGAGTGGAGTATGTCTGACTGCGTGTACAAGGCTTATAAAGAAAATTCAGGGGAAATTTTTGGTCTAAACAAATTTCTACAATATTTTTTGTTAAAATGTGTGTCGCTTTTCTTGTTAAACAAACATGTCAATTTGTGTATTTATTAGTTTGAATTCCTTAATTTAATAAGTGTGACCTTAAATTTAATAAATTGTTGCTATTTCATTATATTTTGATTTCTATTATTTTTTAACAGATATGCTTGATTATTCAAGAATTTTGTAAAATCAAATGAATTTTTTTCTTATATAAACTTTATTTTCCAAAAATATTTTGAAAAAGTTATTATATTGAGAAAATGTCAAATTTTGGGGGAAATTTTGATCCAAAAGGAAACTTAAGGGAATATTAGGGTCTGAGAATTTTTTTTTTTACTCCTGCTTATATGTAAATGAATATGTTCAATATTAGTGAACTAATGTTGATTATATTAATGTATAATTAGTTCACTGATTAGTGAACCAATTATAATTTATGAAAAATATAAATATTTCTTTAAATGAATTAATATTTTTTTCAATCAATCAATTCAAAGCTTTAATTAAAGTACTATTAATATTTAGTACAGTTATTTGAATAAATAATTGCACATTATTTTATTATGTTGCATATTATAGTTTTAGTATGTATACTTTCTCAACTAAGCAGCTTAGCATCAATTAAAAGAATTTTGAATTTTGGTCTTATTCATAGAAAACTGAAAAATGAACTTAGAGCATAAAAAAATGTTTTTTTTTTTTTTTTTTGAAATTGCATGCTTTAGGGGAAGAAGTTAAAATGGGTGTAAATGAAAATTAATATTATTTTAATAATTACGTACTTATCCTTACAAAAAAAGAGCACTTCTAATATGAGTAATGTAATTCTGTTGAGTTGTTTTATTTTGTGTTCCTTTATAATTAAGTTAGGTTTACATCTCAAAGCGCGTAGTTACAATTATTTATTTCTCTCATAGCAATGATGATTCTCAGGCCTTAAAAGAATGGGCCATAATAGAAGTTCAAGGAGATCTTGAATGTAATACTGGAGATACTATTGGTGGAAAATTAATTGGCCATTTATTTTACTCTACAAAGGTAATATAATTTTGGTGACCAAACTATTGTGGCTCCTCAATCATTGAGAATTATATAAACCATTAAAAGTGAACCTTCAAAATATAATTGCATTCTTTTTAAAATAGAATTTTTGGGTTTCATAATTGAAACAGTTACAAAGTTATTGACTATTGAGGTAGTTAATATATTTTGAACAGTAAAATACTGTAGAATTTCAAAAATATTTTCTGTAACTTCTAAATATAATCTACACAAGTGTGAAAGGGGACTGTTATATCTACTGCTAAAACAATGCTGTGTGTTATATTTATTAACCAATGAACTCTAAGACTTTGACTTAGAGGTTGGGAAGCTCCAGAGAGCAGGGCACATCGACCAGAGGTCTATTGTACCCAAACCTTAAATCATGATATTAAAAAAACCTGATTTCCACGTCCTCAATCTATTGTGGAAATAGCTGTACAATTTAAAGATAAAATCCTAAATTAATAAAAGAAGCTTTTCTTAAAACATTTCCTCCCACAAAATTCCTGGTTAACATAAAAGTCCTGTGCTGTCTCGATCAAAACTGCTTCTGCCTCAAGTTTTTCTGATAACCACTTTTTATTGTTTATAGTTTATTATTATTTTGTGAAAAAATTCCACTGCAATGTTTAAGCTTGAAAGAAAAGTTTGAAAATATTAAATCCTATTCTTATGCTAATAGATTAAATCTGGCATGAGATTCCTTTGAAGTTATGCGGAATTTCCGACTTGCTAAACTTTAGAAAAAAATATAAAATATATGTATACAAATATTGAAAATAGCAATCATATTTTCCAAAGAGAAAACAATGATAATAATGCCATGTTAAGTGTCTTTTTTTTCTTATTATTTCTACATTATTTTGCTCTTTTACTACTATTATTTATATTAAGTTAAATATAATGATATAAAAGTTCAATTAACAGTTTGACTATCAGGGTTTTCACACATTAAAAATCAGCAACTTAAAAGCTACTATTTTAGAAGACAATATAACATATATGTATACAAATATTAAAAATTGCAATCAAATTTTCCAAAGAGAAAACAGTGATAATAATGCTGTGTTAAGTGTCTTTTTTCTTAATATTTCTACATTATTTTGCACTTTTACTACTATTATTTATATTGAGTTTAATATAATGATATAAAAGTTCAATTAACAATTTGACTATCAGGGTTTTCACACATTAAAAAACAAACAAACTTAAAAGTATTATAATTTTTTGTGTTAAATAATTTGCAGTGTTTTTTTTTTTTATATTTTTCCTGATTTATTGATAGGTACAGTCAACCCCGCTTAAAGGAATACCATACCTTTCCAATGCTATTTAATTAAACTGAGTATTTCATTAAAAGGGGAGTGCATTATTCAATTTTATATGCTTAATTTTTACCAAATTTTACTTTTTAATGGTATCTAATGCATAGTATGGTGTTTTGTTTTATAAATTAACTCAATTTTATGATCAATAAACAAATATAATGAAAACTAGCTGTGTTAGTATTATAAAATATAGATGTCATTTAAAGTTTTATAAAAATAATTCTATGCTGTTGAAAAGAATAATGCAGTAATATACAGTATAGTACAGTACTATAATATTATTTTGTTTCTTTCGAAAAAATCTATAATTGAAGACTTTTTATATCCGTTTAATTTGTCAATTTATCAAAATTCGATTTTTCCGTTTCTTTTTTTCCTAAAACTTTCATGACTTGTGTATTACTTTCAAATACTTTATTTATTTTTTTAAATCTCTGAAATTTAAGTAATTCCAAATTAATTTGCTGTTTCGGTTTCAAAGTTTTAAAATTTATTTCTTCCAAAATTTTTCTATTTTTTTCTTCTTTTTCGATTATTTAAAACCATTCCTTTTTATACTTATCTTGTATCTAATTCCTTTTTACACTTATCTTGTATCTAATTCCTTTTTACACTTATCTTGTATTTGGAATAAGGAATGATTATTCTATTTAAGAGAAAGACACTGTTAGCTAGTGTGTTAGGTTTTTGAAACTTTTTCTTATCAAAACTAATAGTACAATAAGAGGGGATCATAAGTCTTCACTGTGAAACAAATCATTCTGTACCTTTTTACATGATGTGTGAATGAAGCGAGTCAGAGAGGGTAAAACTCCTCTTCATTCACTCCGATTTATAACTGATTTATAACTAATATTTCTATATTATCATCTGTACTTTTATTTTTTGTTCTCAAACTAGACTGAAATGTAGTGTGCAATATATAAGTTACTTAGTATATGAAAAATGTTTGTTTAGTATAGAAATCTTTTTATGTGGTGACCGATAAATGTGCTTTTTAAAATTTTTTTAAAAAATTATATGCAAAAAAGCCGGAATTGAGTGTAAAGAAAAAGTAAGTGCATTTTCAAAGCAAAATAAACTTTCATTTTAAAATTTGAATATAAATTGATTGCTCTCCCAGTTGTTTTATAATGATTTTGTTTACTTGTTTGTTCCTATATCAGTCACAAAAATATTCTATAATAATATCTGGCGACTGGTATTGAATCAAACCTTTGAAGAATTTAGTGAAAAACACATAATGAATATTTTTGTTTAATTTGAGAAAACCTGTAATGTCAAAACATGTACTATTAACAAAACATGTGTAAGTAAGAACTGTTTATAAAACTGAATAATATTTAATCATTTGCAGGCAAGCATAAAAATTATTCTGTATTTTACGACAGAAACTTGAACATTTTTCCAAATGTCATTTAATTTGTTTTTCTCTTGTCTCTTCAATTTAAAGTATTATTTAATATTGCATGAATTTTTAATGAAGTTTTAATTGTTATGTTCATTAAAATATATTGAGTAATTCATATACTCAGTGATGAACTGTAATTTAAAGTTAGCTAGTATTAGTTTGAAAGAGAGGTTAATCTTGTAATTGGTAATGCTGTTTATAAATAGGGCAAATAGTAATTGTTTTCTGATTATTAATGAGGTGCTAACTAATGTTAGGATCAGGGTTGGCTTTTTGACATGACAGTGGTAAAAACCGTGTTTTTACCGGTAAAAACTGTCAAAAACCTACTGTTTTCTTTAATTTATGGCATATAGCGGACAATATATTTTCACATAATTTCCTTTGTAAATGATTGAATAAATGAATGTTGTAAATGATTGCTATTGGTTTTACAACTATATACATGTATTCTTATAGAAGGATATACATTCATATGGAAATATTGTACAGTACAGAACCCATTATCCGGAAATCAGAAAACCAAAAAACCGGAACGAAATTCGATAGATTTTCCCGCCATTTTTTAAAAAAAATGTTTTTTTCCTCATAAGATTTTAGGATTTTTCTTTCTTTTTTGAAAGATGTTTACCTTACCATCATTTTGGAAATAATCATTAGGGTATTACTTCATCGATTTTTCTTCATTTTAAGATTATTTCCAAATATATATATTTTTTTAGTTGGGTTTAACAATAAAAAAAACGGCTTTTTGTAGCGATTCAGAAAACCGGAAAAATCAGTTATCCAGAATAGCGATGGTCCCGATCGTTCCGGATAATCGGTTCCCTACTGTAATATACTTATTGAAAATAGTGATACAGTAGGGAACCGATTATCCGAAACGATCGGGACCATCGCTATTCCGGATAACTGATTTTTCCGGTTTTCTGAATCGCTACAAAAAGCCGTTTTTTTTTATTGTCAAATTCAACTAAAAAAATATATTTGGAAATAATCTTGAAAAGAAGAAAAAACGATGAAGTAATACACTAATGATTGTTTCCAAAATGATGGTAAGGTTAACAGCTTTCAAAAAAGAAAGAAAAATCTTGAAATCTTATGAGGAGAAAAACATTTGTTTTCTCAAAAATGGCGGGAAAATTTATCGAATTTCGTTCCGATTATTTGGTTTTCCGGTTTTCTGATTTCCGGATAACGGGTTCTGTACTGTACTTATTTTTATCATTATAGCTTGATTTGCAAAGGATTCAAAACTTTGCTCTTCTTAATTGTTAGAAATAAACAAACAAGCAAAAAAGCTTGGAACTATTAATAAATTCAAGAACTAAAAAGAAGAATTTAAAATTTGGCATTTTTTAAATATTAGAAATAAGCTAAACAAAACTTTCAAAACTTGTAGCTACTAACAAACTCTTGGTCAAGAATGACTTGACATTCTTCAGTAATGTAATATGTCAAACAAAATGATTGGAAATGTTGAAAATTTTGTTTAGTATCCTAATATTTTACTTCAAATAGTATGTTTTGATATAATCATGTTGGGAAAATACAAGAATCTGTTCTTGCATTGTATCTTTTAACTTTTTTTCTAATTTTACTGCCTAAAATGAATTAATTTTAAATTACAAGCAGTTAAACTCACATAAAAATACAGTTTTACCAAAACTATAGGTTTTTGACATGACGGTAAAAACCATGGTATAAATCGGTAAAAACCGTCATGTGTCAAAAACTTGGCAACCCTGGTTAGGATGTCTATTCCCATATATTGTTGAAATGTCTAATTTATTAAAGATCAAATTATTTGTGTCTTAACAAATTACTAAATCTTTATTAAAGTTATTATTATTATAATAATTTTCTTTCATGAGATTAATTTTTGTACTATATAAAGATACTTTTTAGTGTTAATCTTAGAGACAGTTAGTAGTAGTCTCACTGCTTCAGGGCCTAAAGTTCTTATGTGTAGTTTCTAAAAGCTCACTCTCACAGATTGCATACCTAAAATGTCTAATTTAGTAAAGATTAAATTTGTGTCATAACAAATTGCTAAATTCTTATAGGGAGTTACTCCGATTATTTTATAAAATTTGATTAATTTTTTTACTATATAAAGGTAATTTTTTAGTGTTAGCCTAAGAGGCAGTTGTGTTCTCTCTACAGCAGATTTAAAAATTCTTAGGTGTAATTTCTAAAAGGTCACTCATGCAGATATGTAGTATAAGTTCACTTAAAGATTGTCACACTTTAACATTCAAAGATTTTTAAACTTGAACATTCTTTGTTCCTTGTCGTCGTTGCTTATCCTCTTCTGGCCTAACGAAGTCAATGTTAGAAGTGTTATCAGTTTTAAAATTTTCTATTTTTGTATGAGTTTAAGAGTACGATATGTTACTTTTTATGTTATTATCATAAAACTTTTGATCATATATATTTTTCAAAAATATGCAGCAAAAGTTTAGCACTAATCATAAACACAAAATATTGCAATGGATTTCAATATGTCGTTTATAATACTGTTTTGTATTTTGTTTTTGTATATTGAAATTTGTATTTTATTTCCTATTATATAAGACTGCTTAAAGTATACACGTGAAAGATTATTGTGATTATGTTTAAGTTTGTTAAAATTTTCTATTTTAAAAAAAATTGTAGAATTGATTTACCTTTTATGTAGCTATGAGAATGTTGAGTTCAAAAATTTTAGATTGTATTCTCTTTTATATATTGTGAAAAATATAGTTACTATAGCTTTTTAAATTCCTCAATCTTTCAGTTGAAAATAGGCTGTGAAATTTTTAAATTGGATCATAACTTAATTTGTAGGGAGTAATAAAAGGCAGCAGTTATCTCATCTTCCCTAGAAACTTCAGATATATTGCAATGTGAAACATTTTTCAAATTAGTTACCTACCATTGGTGACTGAAAATTTGTCGGACATAAGAAATGGAAGAAGTTGTTATAGACTATTGATAAGTGCCTAGTCTCAATGCTACCCATAACTAATTAGATCACTCTTAAAGTTCTGAAAAAGGAAATGAAACAGAAATTTTTTTCTTGCAATCCTTCTGATATACAGCTTTGAGAACAGAACATTAACCATTGAAATATTGAGAGAATTTGAGATAAATGTACTGATATTAAACATTAGTACCTTCCACTACTGGATTATTGCTAAAAAACCCAGATGATTTGGCAACTCTAACATAATTTTTTTCATAATCATTCATTGCTAATTAACGGAAACAGAAAAAATTTTCTGTGTAGAGTTATAGACAGGAAATGTTTTTTTTTTTAAAAAGAGAATTAATATATGGAAAGTTTTATAATACTTGTTTTCAGGTAGGGTGAGACACAGCTAAAGAAGAAAATTCAATGTATTTAGGTTACAGACTTCTACATTCTTTAGCTTATTCGTAATGATAACAAGCTGTGATTTCTCATGTTCCAGTAACATTCCTGTTATGTAAAAATGTTCAATTTCAAAAACTAATACTTAACTGATTTAGCTTTTTGTTCTGTTTCAGAAACAACCTCTTTTAGTTATTGGATATCAAACATTGTATGGAAAAGTAACTGAACAGAAACCTCCACTGGCTGTTTTGAAAAGACAGAGATCACCCAGTGTGGATTTGCCTACTTCAAGCAATACAGATCAAAATATCAATTCCAAATATGAAGTATTAGCCTTAGTGGATAAAAAAATAGTTTTTAGAGCTAGACCAAAACCAATTGTTTGAAACTAGCTAGGAACTAACCATGTTTAGTGACGATTATGATTATTTTCCAGAGCATCAAAGAAATATGCACTTTGAAAAACCCATGCATGGGCCTCCAGGACCTCGAGGTGGTCCTCATGGCCCAGGTGGACCTCATGGTCCTCCAATGAGAGGACCACCATCAATGAGAGGGCGAAGAATGATGCCAGATAACGGCCCACCACCAAATTTCAGAGGTCATGACCCTGATTTTGACAATGATTTTCCTCCACCGCAACCTAGAGGTATGTCTATGAATATGCGTGGCCCACCTGGAAACATGTCTAGAGGTCCTCCTCCTGGTGCACATTTTGGTGGTGGTTCACCACAACACATGGGTGGGAATCAATTTGGTTCTCGCCAGCCTCAACCAGGAATGCCACCAGGAAAAGGTCACTTTCAAAGACCCCCTATGGTTCCACCTTTTGGTATGCCTCCTCCTTCTTTCTCAGGTCCAGGTGGGGGACCTGGAGGTGGGCCACCAGGCAGCGGCCCTCCTGGAGGCCAAGGTGGTGGAAATCCTCCAAATCGAAATCCAATTAATAGCAATCATTCTCCTCCTAACAATAGTTCATCAAATGCTAATATCGCAAATCTTGACTTGAGTGGTGAATTATGGGTTGAAACTAAAACAAGTTCAGGTAAATTGTATTATTATAATGCGAGAACTAGAGAATCTGCATGGACGAAACCTGAAAATGTAAAAATTTTACATCAAGACCAAATTGAAGCTTTGGCTGCAGCAACAGGAAATTCTTCAGATTTGGATTCTGCCTCAAAAAATGAAAGTTTGAAAAATAATGTTCCAGTAAACCCAGTTGTTAGTGCTCCAAATCAGTTTCAGTTTGTACCTATGCCAATGCCTGGGATGGCACCTATGCCTGGTCCTGGAATGGGAATGATGCCTCCTCCAGGTTTTGGACTTGGGCCACCACCTCCATTTGCAATGCCGCCACCCGGTATGGTTCCTGCTCCAGGCTATCCGCCTTTTGGCATGCCTCCTCCTGCATTTCCTGCTGTAGCCATGAGTGGGCCCCCTATTACAAATGCAGCTACTCCAGAGAGTAGTGTGCTTTCTAATACAGCAACTGAAATCAAAGCTGAGGCTACAGGGGAAAATAGTGTTGTCGTTTCCGACAATGCAGATGAAGAATGGGCAGAATACAAAGCTGCTGATGGAAGATCTTATTATTATAATAAAATAACTGCTGAAAGTACTTGGGAAAAACCACAAGCTTTAATGAAAGGTGAAGGCGCCGAAAATAAATCTGACGGTGATGCAACTGACACAACTACCGAAAATCCTGCTACCGAAACAAGTGGCATGGAAGTTGATGAGTCAGCAGAAGCTAGAGCTGAAAATGAAGAAACGAATGAAGAACTAAATAATCAGATGGATGTTCAGGAAAATGGAGCTGTTAACGACATAGATAAAGCAATTGCCAATGATTCAATAGGTATTAAAGAAGAGAAAGCTGCAGAAGAACAACTCGAACAACCCAAGCCTGTTGATAAGTCTCGACCTGTTTCTTGCACGCCTATAACTGGTACACCATGGTGTGTAATTTGGACCGGCGACAATAGAGTATTCTTTTTTAATCCCAGTACAAGGACATCTGTTTGGGAAAAGCCTGAAGAATTGAAGGGGCGATCTGATGTAAACAAATTAATTCAGAGTCCACCACCTCAAAAAAATGAAATGGGGAAAGAAACTGAAACTAGTGAGCCTGATCCCATGCCTGAAGCTAAGAAGATTAAACTTGAAGAAACTACCGAAGATAATAGTACAAAGCCTAAGCAGAATGATCTAATACTAAGCAAAAATAGCATTACACCAGGAAAAGAATCTGCCGTTGAAGCCGAGCTTCGCGCTGCTAAAGAAAGAGATCGTTTGACCCTGGATGAGAGGATGAAGCAATTCAGAGATTTACTTGTTGAAAAAGATGTGTCTGCCTTTTCTACCTGGGAGAAAGAATTACATAAAATTGTCTTTGATTCACGCTACCTTTTACTATTATCAAAGGAGAGGAAACAAGTGTTTGAAAAATATGTGAAGGAAAGAGCTGAGGAAGAAAGGAATGAAAAAAGGAAAAAAATGCGAGAACGAAAAGATGATTTTAGAAAACTTCTTGATGAAGCAAATTTGTCTAGTAAATCAACCTTTAGCGATTTTGCTCAAAGATTTGGCAAAGACGATAGATTTAAATTGATTGAAAAAATGAGGGAAAGAGAAAGTATATTTAATGATTATATACAAGACATAAGAAGGAAAGAAAGAGATGAAAGGTCCAGCCAAAGAGAAAGAACTAGAAAAGATTTCATAGAGTTGTTGAAAGAGCAAAAAGGACTGGACCGACATAGTCGATGGAGTGACGTTAAAAAAGGATTGTCCGACGACTCTCGTTACAAAGCGGTGGACAGTAGCTCTTTACGTGAAGAATGGTTTAAGGAATATACTAGTAAACTATCTAGAGATACAGAAGATGATACGTCCAAAGAAAGAGAAAAACAAGAACGAGTCGAAGCTAGTATTCGTGAACGGGAAAAAGAAGTTCAGCGAACATTGTCTACTCATTTGAGAGAACGAGACAAGGAACGAGAGTTGCATAAGCACGATGAAGCTGTTCAACATTTTAAAGCTTTGTTAACAGACCTAGTACGTTCACCAGACGTGTCTTGGCACGAAGTTAAAAAGACATTAAGAAAAGACCACAGATGGGAGAATGTTGGCTGCCTGGAACGTGATGAACGGGAGAAGGTTTTTGACGAGCACATTAGTTTCCTTTACCGCAAGAAGAAGGAAAAATTCCGTGAACTTTTGGATGAAACCCCAGACATCACACTAACTTCTTCTTGGAAAGAGGTTAAAAAATTGATTAAAGATGATCCTAGGTGTTCCAAATTTTCATCTAGTGATAGAAAGTGTGAGAAGGAATTCAAAGAATATTTAAGAGACAAAATGGTGGCTGCTAAAGCTGATTTTAGGGAACTTCTTAAAGAGACTAAAATAATCACTTATAAATCAAAGAAACTAATTGAAGAAAGTGACCATTTGCATGATATTGAGAAAGTGTTACAAAATGATAAAAGATATTTAGTTTTACAATGTATAGAAGACGAGCGGAAGGAGCTATTAATGGCCTATATTGATACATTGGACAGAAAAGGACCACCACCTCCACCTACAGCATCAGAGCCATCGAGACGTTCCACTAAGTAAATAATTCTCCATCAGTTCATTTTTTCCAGCCTAATCTGGTTTTATTGTGAATTAATCGCAAACCACATAAGATTTAAAGAATACATGTTTTTTAGAGAACAAAATGGATTTGAATTCATTTCCAGACAGATTTTGTAAATAGAAATGCAGCGCTTGTTTGTGTTGAACTGTTTTAGCTCTGGGTAACTTTTTGGCAATCAAAAGTTCTGTCTTTAAAAAAAGAAATGTTTTTTTTTTGTATCACATGATTAGAAATAATTTTTTATAAGTTTTTTACTTGTTTATTAGGAATGACGTACAGAATTGTTATTGAAGGAGTTTTATTTGCCAATTCTTGTTATAAAAGTAATTGATACCTTTGACTTTAAATTACATGAACATGCATTTTTCATAAATATCTGTTGCATTGTAAAAGCCAGGTAATGTTTGTGAACATTTTTCATAATGTAATAGTTACATTGCTGCTCATAAAATATTTTTTGTATTCATTGGGTGTTTAAATTATTTTTTTCTTTTCTGTGACCTTTTAATCTGATAAAAATCTGATAATTAATCTGATTGTACTGATAAAAAAACATACATTTTGCTAACTTTTTCATAAGATAATTAAGCTTTTAAAATATATAAAGTTTATTTCATTTCAGTTAGTTCATATTAAAAAATTGAAATTGCAAATTTGTATTTTTTTTTAACTGAAGTTTTGTATTTAAATCAAAATTGAGAGCCTGATATTTCACATAAATTTTAAAATTTTCGGTTAATTGCTTTTTACATTTTCATGGTACATATTAGATTACTTATTTACAGTTCATACTTTTTTCTCAAGAAAATCTTACTTTGAAGTTGAATTTCTAAAACTATATTCCTTTATTTATTTTAAAATGCTCTTCACTATAAGTCAAAAATTCTTAGTGAAAATTTTTCATTTTTTAATGCTTAATTACAAATCTGACCAATGTCAAAATATTATGACAAAAAATTGATTTTTAAAAATATTAAATCTTTTATTTAATATCACTTATTTTTGGTATTGTATTTCATTATAAATTATATGGGAAAAAAAGTATATGCATTATTTCATTATAATTGTCCAATTAATTTTATCAAAACCATTGTACTAAGCTGTTTTTGTTTCTATAAATATTGAATTAAATTCTATTAAATGCTGTCTTAGGCTAATTATAACATAGGCCTAAAATTTTGGAATTTTAAATTCCTGAAATTTTAAAACTGATTTTGACTGAGCTGATTTTAAATAAGCAAAAAAACTTCTTATCAGCTTTACTTTTAGAGATGTAGCAACAAATAACTCTGTTTTTATTTTCTTTAAAAAAATAAATTGTAAATAAAATAAAGTCTTTTGGCAATTAACTTCAATTGTATTTGGTATGCTCATTTCACATATTGAAATTATATATTTTTTTACTATTCTAATGTAATTTTTTGAGTTTTAGTATCTACGTATGCTATTTTTACTAAAAAAACTGCTGAATTTTGAAGACCGGTGACAAATTTAAAAAAAAATAAATATAAAAAAAAGTTTACTAGTTTCAAAAAAAAATGTTTTATTTGAAATCAGTGTACCAAAGTCAGTTTAAAAATTTTAGATAACTGGCTTTATATTTTTTTGCAGGACTATTAAAATAATAATTTTTGCCACTTAGATAGCGAAAAACTGTTAGCCCATCTAAAAAAAGAGCATTCTAGAAAGATTCTAAATCATTTTAACCTTTTGTTTTTTTTCTAGTACAACAAGTGAACCAGAATGACTGGCTTCATTGTGAAAAAGCTTAGTTACCAAATCGTCTGCTCTCTTTTTGTGCTGTTGCTTATTTCCTAAAAATGTATGATTCTTTATAGAATGTTTTTCTCTTAAATGTCAAAAAACACTTAGCTTAAAAGCGTGTTAAGCATCATTTTGAAAAAGTTTTAAATTTAAGAATGTGTTATAATTGGCTTAAGTGTTGAATTGCAATTTTTTTTTCTTCTTCAATTCACAACTTTTAATAAATTGTCAAATGGATTTTGTGACGAATTTAAGGCAAAAAAGACATACTAACGAAAAAAGTTCCAGGTTTAAAATAACAATAGAAGTAATGGTTACTTTGAATAATTGAAAAATAAAACATTAATTTATTTATTAAAAGGCTATTTTCAGAGGGAAAAATATATTTTATCAACAGCTTTCTGATGTTTCCATACAATTTTAAGCTAATTTCCTAAAATTCATGCATTGTTTTTTTAATAGGTTATTCAATATCCAAGTGAAATAAATGTGTTGAAAGAGATTTAAAAAAATATTCATTGTTTGGTTCTAAACATGCTATGACAATTTGGATCAGTGATTTTACCAAGCCTATGTCAGACAGTGAAGCTTTCATAATCATTTCCCTGGTGTCTCTATACATTCTAAAGCTGATTTCATTACATTCATTTAAGTGAAGTCAGCTTTAGATTTCTCTTAACATGCTGTCCTATTGTAATAAATAAAATTAATAATTTCACTTTACTATTTTATTATGTTTAAGCAAATATATAATTATTAATGAGTTCAAGCTTTTGTAATCATTTTTCTGTCATATCTGTACATTCTAAAGCTTTTTTTTTAAATCACTAAAATGTTACTTCTTTAAGTTCTGAAAATATCTTCAATCAGTTTGCTGTTTCTTTGCATTTTAAAGCTGATTTTTAAATTCACTAATATCTAACTTTATATGTTACCTTATTAAGTTTTACAAAAATTTGGTTTAGGTTTTTGTAAAAAAAGTTATCTTAGCCAAGTAATTTAATTTGACCCACATAAATTAGAATTTCCATTCGTTTTTAAAATCTGATTTGGTATCACAATACTAATTTTTACTTTAATTGGACATATAACTAAATATTTTTTCATAAGATTTTTTTAAACAAAATTATTTTACTGAAAAAAGTCTGTTTTTTTTAGAAGGTACATATTCTTCTACTGTATGAATTTTGTTTTACTATAATTTCCATTCTAAATGATTTTCTAAGAAAATATAATTCAAAGAAATCCAAAATATGCCAGAAAGCTTGCTTATTGTAATTTTTTCCGTTTCTGATTTGCCTGTATAACTCATTTACCTTATCAACTGGAAATAAATTCTGATACTGAAATACTTGTGAAGTTTAATAAATGCCATTTTAATAAAATTTGCTTTAATTGCATCAGTTTTGATTTCAAATATGGTTTATTTATATGAGAAAAATAATAAGCAGGGCAATTCCATATGTGACGGAATGACATTTTGACTTTCAAAATAACAACTAATTGAAGTTTCTATGCATCTAATTTCAAATGAACATTGTCTTTTCTCATGCATATCATTATTATTGGCAAAATGCGATTCATAAACTAAAAAAAAAGGAATTTCAATTTTTTTTATTTTTAATTTTATGAACTTTTTATTTTTGTGACGGAATGACATTTTGGCAACCAAGCTTTTGGCATGCCGCTTAGAACTAGTAGTTTCTGTGAATTTTGCAGCTATTATTTTTCTGAACTATTTTTTACTTTTAGTATTATGTGTAAGCAATGTAAAATGTGAATTTGGAAAATTTACCTCAGGTTGGCTAGCAGTTATTAACATCTATTTGCTGTGNAACTTCTACAAGGGTTGGACAAAATAATAGAAACACTTCTGTACTTATGCATTTCGTTATATTTCTCAAGAAGTAATTAGAAAATCATTTATAACTGCAGAAGTGATTATATCATGCGATTTCTCATACTTCTCAATGAAATTTAATGCTTTCAGAGGTTGGAGGGAGCGTTTGTAGTTAAGAATTATAATTTAGTATTTAATAATTAGTTAATTTTAAATTGCTACCGAACATTTTGTTTTATTTTATTTTATAATTTTAAAGTTACACCAAAAAAGCGTAAGACAAAACAAAAACTTTATTTTTATTAAAATGTCCATATCTCCATAAATATCTAAGCTAGGCTTACAAACTTTTGCACCATTATCGCATATAATAGCCAAAATAATTGTTATAAGTTACAAATTTATTCCTACATTTTTTGTCATAAGGTGTTCAAAAACACTATTTTCTGTTTGTAATTTATTGCTAGTCCCTCAAACCTCTAAAAGCTTTAAACTTTATTCAGAAGTATGCGAAATCACATCTAAACACTTCTGAAGTTATAAAGTAGTTCGCTAAGTATTTTCTTGAAAAATGTAATAAATATATTAGTATAGAAGTTTTTTCCTTATTTTATCCAGTCCTGTGTGTCTGAAAGTAATGAAAATTTATATTCCTTGTGGATCTTTATTCTTAAATGAAACTTATTTTCACACAAATCAAATGAATAAATTTTAAATATTTTTCTATACTTACCTGATTTCAGACAAGATTCTTTTGTACAAACGGCAGGTTCAACTGGCTTTAATTTTTCTCCCTCTTTATCTTTTTCTGAAACATTACATGAATCAATTCACGGGCATAATACTGAATAACACAGTACTCTAAATAACGCATTATTTTCCGTTTTCGAGTTATGAGAACATTCTTTTATGATTAAGTTATTTAATCATAGCTTGCCACCGTAATAAAAAAAATAATTCTATATCGAATCAAGAGTGGAATCTAGCCGTTCTTGCTATAAATACTGGGAGGAAATTCTAGTGAAATTACCGTACTATATGGTAATGACATTTCTTTTTCGAAAAAAATCGTAATTTTGATTAATAAACCCAAATATACACTAGTTAAACCACTAATTTAGAAGTTTCTCCATTCATATGGTAACGGTTTACCGGAATTTCTGGTTTTCAAAGTTACTTATTACTTGACATAGTACTTATTACCTGACATTTATATTGAAAAAAATACTAATTTGAAAAGTAAATTTACCGAATACACTGTTTTTAAGCCATGGCTTAAGGTACCATAATAAAAGTACCAAGTTACATCACATATTATAAAGCTATATTTTATCATTAATTTTACCAAAATCAATGTCGAAGCGAATTGGTAAAAATTAACGAGTTTTTTGGTGTTACCAAACAACCAGAAACTAGGTCATTTGTACGATATTCTGGTAATTTTGATACCTTTTCATGCCTTTGATTTAATCATACTTTTTCTCTCAGTGTAGAAAACTTTTAAAATATAAAAAAAAGTTTTTAATAAAAAATATTAAAATATTGTAGTATTACCTAATTTTCGTACTATAGCAATGAATTACAATTAATGACTGAGATTTTATGGAAGTTTGTTGAAGCCTCTGTTGAATTACAAGTGTCAAATTGTTTTTCTTAATTAATTGAAAGATCAAATCACTAAATAATAATACAATATTTGCTTTCTTTCTTTAAAAAAATTGTTGAATTACAAGTTAATTTGAGCTTTCAATTAATTTCTTAATTAATTGAAAGATCAAATCACTAAATAATAATACAACATTGGGCAATTCCATATGCGACGGAATGACATTTTGACTTGCAAAATAACAACTAATTGAAGTTTCTATGCATCTAATTTCAAATGAACATTGTTTTTTCTCATGCATATCATTATTATTGGCAAAATGCGATTCATAAACTAAAAAAAAAGGATTTTCGATTTTTTTTTTATTTTTAATTTTATGAATTATATTTTATTTTTAATTTTTTTGTGACGGAATGACATTTTGGCAACCAAGCTTTTGGCATGCCGCTTATAACTGGTAGTTTCTGTGAATTTTGCAGCTATTATTTTTCTGAACTATTTTTTACTTTTAGTATTATGTGTAAGCAATGTAAAATGTGAATTTGGAAAATTTACCTCAGGTTGGCTCGCAGTTATTAACATCTATTTGATGAGACGGAATGACCGTGACGGAATGACAAAAAGTTTAGTGGAAGAAAGTCTTTATTTAAAAAATGTTTTATTAATATTTAAATGATAAATAGAATATAACAGATAAACAGGATTTGTATTTATGTAAGAATTAGTAAAAATTTCAACAATTTGAAAATTAGGTTGTCTCTGAAGAGGTTTTATATCTAACTTACCAATGTCACATCTTATCTTCGCTCTCAGGAAATTTTCTCAAAAATCAATTTTTGTTCCCTCTTATTTTTAGTACTTTAACAGCTAAATCGTCTTTGTTTATCAAAGTAATTTGCACCACATATAAGTGTTCCTTTTTTTTCGCAGTATGGAACAATGATTAAAGAGCCGACCGCACACTCCAAAGTCATGCTTTCCATTTCCTCTTCACGACAGTGGCTTTTCAAATCATACATTTGGTTTTGGTTAAAATTAGAAAGCATTCCAATTTTGATGATTCACTTCTCAACTACATGAGCGTCTACAGCACGTCTCTTGTCCCTGGCAATGCTGCTGAAACAAGTGTCTAGCTGAAGTCATTCTCTTTTGCCCTCCCTTAAATGGAATAGCTGAACAAAAACAAAACTTCAACGATTTGTTGCTTCGACTTTGTATATAATATGCAAAAGAATTTTATGATTTCATAATGTGCCATTTTAAAGCAGACAACATTTTGTTTGACCTTTTAGAACAAACTCACATTTACATGGTATTTACAGGTTCATGTGTTGTGAGGTATTAATGAAATACACTTAACAAAATTGAGAATAAGAACAAAAATGAGATAAGACACACTTTACATCAATATATGCTTCTTTATGAAAAGCCTCTTTTAAGGCCATAAGTATATATTGCATCTGCACTCTTCGTTACTCTGTCAGAGTTTGTATTATGACTGAATCCTTCATACTTGGGGGCTTGTAACTAACATCATCTTGACAGTAAAAATTTTTTAACCAAATTAAACAGCTCATCAACATTACTTTTCTCACTTAGTTTCTTTTGAGTTCGATGTTAAATACTTCTCACATAAAGACTGAATTAATTTTTTTACCTCTATTGGTGATTTTGGAAGTGAGTGTACAATTTTTTTTATGGTGAGTGTAAAATTTTTTTTATGGCTTTACCAAGACTCTGCAGGAATTTGTATAGGGAATTTAAATTATTTGTATGTGAAGAGATTGGTAGAATTTGATTTTTTCTTTGTTTACACAATCTCTGCACAACAGCGTTTGCACTTCTGAGTTTTTTAAGTCCAACTTTTGTCGCGGAAGCTTTCTTCTCTGCCTTTCTTTCTCTGTTTTTTTTCTTCATCATATCATGGGGATCTTGGTCTTTTTCAACATTTTATCTGTCTTTCAACAGCTGTTTTAGCCATTAGGTTAATTGAAAAAAAAATAATTCCCTAGTTTTTGACTAAGCTTCTCAAGGACTCGTTTTGTCATTCCATCGCCGAAGATGTGTCATTCCGTCACGCTAATTATTGGAAGTTAATAATCAAATGCATAGAATTTTACAATTTCTCATTGATTCTTATGCCACATCTGCTTTATATTCCAAAATATACACATTTTCATTCAAAAACGCAGTTGCTATTTAAAAAAATATACTAAAACATGTGACGGAATGACACAAAAAAAAGTTACTTTTATTTAATATATTAAACTTAAAATGACTTAAAGACTATGTTTTAAATGTTTAAATTTTGTACTATATGCATATTTTTATCAAAATATTGCAAAAGAAAGATACATTTCTTTTATTTTATAAGTATTTTTCAAGAAAACAATTTGAGCACAAATGTGGACAATTCACTTGTCAGTCATGTGATTACTTTAGAATGCTACCAGATTCAAAAAACTTAAAATTATCAGAAATGGAGCAGTAATATGTAGACTTTGGCTATTTTTGAACATATTTTTGAAATCAAAATATGCAATTCATAAAAAAAAAATTCACTTAAAAGTTGTCACTTTCGTGGAATTGCCCCATTTGCTTTCCCTTTTTAAAAAACTTTTTTGAATTACAAGTTATTTTTTCTTTCAATTAATTTCTTAATTAATTGAAAGATCAAATCACTAAATTATACAACATTTGCTTTCCCTTTTTAAAAAACTTTTTCAAATTACAAGTTATTTTTTCTTTCAATTAATTTCTTAATTAATTGAAAGATCAAATTACTAAATAATAATACAATATATGCTTTCTTTCTCTAAAAAAATTGCTGAATTACAAGTTAATTTTGATCTTTCAATTAATTTCCTAATTAATTGAAAGATCAAATCACTAAATAATAATACAATATATGCTTTCTTTCTTTAAAAAAATTAATTGTCTTTAAAAACAATTAATTG